GTCTGGAAGACTCCCCGAACAACGAGTCCTTTTCGAGCGAAATCGAAGCGGCGGAATAAATTCTAACGCTTAAATTCTATTGCATCCATTGGTTAAACGGGGAATCAAAAGCCCATTCCGGGCCCTCTTAACACGAAATGGAAGTGAAATATAAAAGAAGCGAGGAAAAGGCGAGAGCGGTAGAAGGAATATCCCGAGTTTTCGCGGGGCGAGCTGGATCGGCGTCGACTCTTCGTTTTGGAAACGGTAGACCAGCTGGCACGCGCAACCCACGTTTCTCCCGCCGAACATGCTCGAGGTCCGATAATTGCGGGCCTGTTCGGCGGTAAGATCCGAAATCAATGTGGCGAAAAGGGTGACGTGAAAATGGGCCGGGCGTTTAATCGGACCGGCATTAAAAGAAGGCGAGGGCCCGAGGGTGGGCGACACAATAAATATCGGGGAAGGAGAGAGATCCGGTGCTACTTACGCCGTCAGCCATAATGATGGGGTGTGTTCGGGCTGTTTGCTTAGGGAGCAGATTAGTGAATGAATCCACAGGTGGGCGCCATCCGTCACGCGAGGCCAGGATCCGATGGGTCGGCCCCGCCTATCCCGCGGGATGCAGGACCCATATCCGTGCCCGTTCACCTCGAGAGCCAGTCTACTTATGCCGGCCAACTTGCCGACGTCCCCCCTCGTGACCGGAACGAGCAAGGTCAATCTGGGTCTCGGTTTTTCGCGGGACCGGTAGAGGCGTCGCGGCTTGGGAAATCGATGCCGAAAACTGAACCGTACCCGAAGGTGCCCCGGGGACCTTGAGGTACCGATATGATGGAGTGCTAAGGAGATTGGCGGACCACCGGAGTAATGTCCGCGCTAATAGCAGTGATTACCCTGCCTTGTTGGGAATGAACCCGCCCGCTCCTTACCCGGTCTGGCTCGGTCTTCCCTCTGCCTTGCCCTGCCCACGGATTGATGGATGTTTACCAAACTAACTGCCTCCCTTCCCCCCTTGCGTCTCCCGTCTGCCCCGAAGCTACGGGCTAACTTCCCCGTCCGAACCCATCGGATCCTGCCGTTTGACGCGGATCGCGACTGCGCGTTTCGAGGACGAGGCGACCGGGTTGATCCCCAAACTCTAGACTCCGCGGGATGCTTCGTCGTCGGGGAATGATGCGACCGAGTGCCTTTCCAAAGCGAGCGACGGAGCGAGGCCAGAAAATATGAATTACCACGGAACGTGCCATTGAGTATTTATCGCGTCGCGTTCGTATCGATTCGCGGATAGGACGGTATAATGGAAGACGGTACGGTTGCATTTTAAAGCGTCCGCGTTTAAACCGGCCTGCCGTGTTCGAACTGCCAGTACCCCCGCGGCAAGGGAGGTAATTATACTTGCATTATTATAACGTCACCGGCAATACATCACGCCGGTCTCCACGACATACATATGCATCGCGAGGAGAGTGCGGCATTAAACGCAAACTCGGTGCTCGACCCGCCCCCTACGCCTTCCCGTCACTCCTCGTTCCTCTTGCTCCTCGGGGGAAGGATTTTTGAACCATCCTTTCGCTTCGTCCGTAATGAAATGTAAAAAAGAGCTGCGTCTCGCGAGGATCGGGACCTCGCGTGGAAAAATGTCGAACGGGGCGAAGAAACGTTTCCCGAGCGAGATCGCGTCGTAACTCCCTTCTCTTTCTCGAAAAAAAGCCGAAGATGACACCTATTCCCTGGTTCGTCGTACCTTGAGTGCTTCGTTGATTCGGAAAGTGATCAATTCGCCAAGGAACGAAGGCAAAAAGTCGGCTCGATCTCATCTGCAAAAGAAGGAAGAAAAATCCTTCCTTCCTCGAGAAAGGAGCAGGATTCTTCGCCGTTCCCCCTGGTATACGTTTCGCCAATAAGAACGCGTCGATAGAGCCGCGCTACCTATGTGGTCGACGACTATGTAAATAACTCGAGCGATGCACACACGCTCGTGCATCGAAAAGGTGGATGCGCCCGAGGCCTCCGTCGGAGAAAACCGAATAAATCGAAGCTCGAATTACGGAATCGAGGAGATATAAAAAGGAAGCAGCGCCGGAAATCTCCCGGCTCTAAATTACGACCCACTAAACGACCGTTAACGGCGGTTAACGCCGAGCCCCGGCATCGAGCCGCGATTCCGGTAAAATTCGATAAAATCGATAAAATCGATAAAATCGTATCTCCCGCCGATTGATAATTTTCTGCATATTATCCGGGCGATTATTGAAAACGGATATTACCTCGCTGAGGATCCACCGATTATCCGCAATTTAACCGGGACGCCGTAACTCGATACTCGTATGTACTTATCGGACTGCCCAAACGCGTTAAGAAAAATCCATCCGGCGTTTCTCGCCGCGTGATTACACGCTGGAAGAAATTCCCGATCGACGCCTTTGACGGATGACGAGGTAGCCTAACCGTAGGTGAAGCCGGTCGCCGCTCGCTATTTGTTTTAGATATTAATGCTTTTAGCCGACTATCGATAATTCACCGGGCGTAATCGCATAGTACCCCTTCGTCGGTACGCGAGACGCAGAGGAGGCCCGTGTAAACGATAAATCACGATAAATACGTTTGCTGGGGCCATTATAAAAGGAAAGGAGGATCGCGCGATCGACGGAGAGTCCGTCGAGGGCCGGAGCCGGGCATTCTCTCCCCGGGGCCACTTTTATGCACCGGCCAAAGGCAACTTGCATATTACGATCGCTTAAGTCCGACCTGGACACGCCGGCGATTCATCCCCGGAGACTCCGAGTGACCGCTTCTTCGTACTTCGGAGAAAGTACCGACCACTCGCTCGGAAAAGAGAAGATCGAGTCGTCGGTTAACGTGGGTGTTAGTAGTCAAAGAATGCGCGGAATATATTCGGCGGTCCTTCCAGGAATTCGAGGACGGACATCGAAACTCGGTACTTACCGCTGGTGAACGCGGTAAATCGAAACGAGAAGTAACGACGGAACGGAGCGCATCGTTAGAAACGATTGCAAGTTCGAAAATTTCTCACCGTGAATTTAAACCGACCGTTTACTCTCGGCTCGAGTCTCAGTTCCCACGATTTCTAAAATAAATTTTCCGACGTTCAATGTTCGAATACCGAGCAACGTCGAGGACGAGGAACCTTCCTCGGAAGACGATACGTTTCGGTTAAAATTTATAGCACGACGAATACGTGCCGGTATAAAGGTAGCCTTATCGATAGAAATAATCACGGGAAACCGGTAAGGAAATCTTGAGCGGAGAAACGAGTAATGAGAAAAATATGGCCCGAAATAGTGGACGACCGCGACGAAAAGTTCGCCAAAGGGATTCGGCAAGGAGTCGGCCGGATTCGCTACATTCCCGAGAAGCTGCCCATTCCGGATAGATAGTCGAAAGAGAGAGAAAGCGAGAGGGAAGCCAGCCTACGGTAGAGAGAGAGAGAGAGCGAGAGAGGGACCGCGAGGGAGAGAGAGGGAGAAGAGGTAGGTAGGTAGATTCTGGAGCCCCACGGGGGGCTCATAATTGCCGGCCCTGAAGATCAGTCGGGCCCCATGGGGGCCTCCTCTGTTTGTTTTATTCCCTAGTTATACAAACGTGAGATCTACGACCGATATATGATAATCGTCTTCCCCTCCGGCTCTTCTTCGGCTCCTACCTACCGGTCTCGAATATGCTCCATACGGAGTTCGCGTAGCCTGGAACGCCCCTCGGCGTTCCGCACGAGGTGGACGTCATTTGGACGCGATCTGGATATTTGTCGAAACTTTCGACACGTCTCGTCGTTTAAGGACCGCGTACGTTGAAAACCCCGAGTCGCCCAGGAGTCGTACTTCATTCGAGTTTAATCAATGGCCGGCAAAAAATCTACGTCGCTCCGTTGCTACGAACGAATTTATCCGTGCCTATTATTTTCTAACCTATTGAAGTAAAATTCTAGACGTCGAGGAAACGTTTCCTAGAAGCCCCAGAGCGTTCCTGACAACACTGATCAACGAGTTGGACATGCCCTGGATATCCGTGGAAGCTTTCTACACGTCTCATCATTTATGGATCGCATTTATTCAAATTCTACCCTCGTCACCGATGATTAATATTTCTCGTTTCTCCCGGCCTTTTTTCTGCTTCCGTTAGGCAAGATACGATGAAACATATTTTCGAATTAATTTACTTGAAAAATACAGTCCATTGGAACCACCTATGTGGTTGCAAAAAGTGGAATGGACGTTCCCAAATTAATTTGTTTCACGCTCCGAGTTGACGCTCGTTTGAAAAATTAAGTCTTTAGGGTCATAAAAAAAATTGATGACTAGAAAAAGTATCGTTGTCGACATTAAAAAGAAAGAAGGAAAGAACGCAAACGTATGACATTCCAAATTCCGTCCATAATCCAATTGTCAATTTACTTGAAGCGCGACCCAATTAAATTTATCGCTAAGGAAATCTACTCAAACGTCCTCGAAACTATGCAAATCAATTGTTTAAGAGATCCGTTTAGTTGGTTTGCTCTTAATCTGATGGGACATTGGGAAAGAAAACACAAGATCCACGGGATCGAGTGATGGATGATCCTACGGGTCCTACGTCGGTGGACGGTCCTGGCTCACACTTAAAAGCAACATTATCTCCCCGGGACGACTATATTTCAAGAGGGACACTTCTTTTCGAATGCAACAGGTCGCTCCAAATGCATCCGATAGCCGCTATCTAAACGAGCGACGAACGAGGCCGAGTAGGTAATTATTGAGATTATTTCGGACCAGCGCAACCAACTCGAACGCATAAATGCAAGGGCCATTCCGGAATGATAAGAGATGCAAAGAAACGATCTTCGGACCGTCTACGTTTCTCGGATAAGGTTGAGCAATTTTTGCATTAACATATCGGCACTTTAAAATGGTTTGCAATTAAGTATTCGTTCCTGTTGGAACCGTTACCGAGTAACCGTCAACATTGGAACCACAAACTTTGCATAATCGAACGTTCAAGGAACAAATGAATTTTTTACTTACCTCTCCGTCGATCTTCTTGAACTCCTCGTCGTCTTCGTCGACCTCGAAGTAGAGTTCCGTCGAGGTCACCGAGACGATCCCGGGGGCAACGATTCCAGGGGCAATCAGCTTCCCTTTGGTGCTGATGTTCACGGGTCCTGATATTAAACGACACCATTACGTTCGTTTTAACGGCGTCACAACTCGTCAACGTTATTATATAGCAGTGCAGGACGGAGTAACAGAAAACAATGCCTACCGGTAAGGTCATTGTCCAGATCGCGATCATCGGACAGGAGCTCGCTATCGTCCATGAGATCCGCGGACTGCAGCTGCTGATGATGAGCCCTCGAAGCTGCAAGATGAGCATGGAATTCTTCGCGTGCCTGCAGGATCGCGTCCTCGGGTGCTCCATGCTCCAAAGCCGCCTTCAACGTGGCTTCGGGATGACTAGACCCTAGAGGATTGTGCACGAAACGTTTGCGTCTACGTGCATCATCCTCCCAGGCGTCCAGTTTCCAGTACTCGGCTAGTCTGGAAGATCGACACGAAAAATTCCTCTAAAAAATCTCGACCCAGTCACGGTAGACCTAAATCTTCCGTTTGGACGGACTACTTTTTTTTTGGTCACGTCATCTAGCCTCTTGGAGCCGTGTACTCACTTGGCGGCCATCGGATCCATGTAGCCCCAAGCACCGTGCTTGTTCGAGAGTATGTTGCGAACTTTCTCCATCAATCTGCTGGCGATGACGTTATCGCGTCTTCGCGCAGCTGTAATTAGATGGTCGCACATTCTTTCTTCTTCGCGTCTGTCCAACAAGGTCTGGGCACATTGGGACTGAAATTCAACAAAAACACGGACATCGGGTCCTGTCATTTTTTTAATTCTTTCGGTTACCGCGGTGGAATGAAAATTGCATTTGCATCCATCCCGTTATCAACGAGTAATCTCGATCCTCGAACCCTTCCATTCGGCTAAAAATCATGTAGAAGCTTTACAGAGACGTAGGATAAAAAGTCCAGGGTTGGATTCGAAAAATCGAGCGGGGCGCAATTTTATACCGCTTTTGATAAAAAGTGGCCCTTTGACTCTCGCCGTTGCCCAAAGATTTTATGGCCAAAACCTTAGGCTAATGATTCTTAATTTAGAGGAACGAGCAGCAGGGTTTCAAAGGCGCGCGGTCAATTTGGAGGTGCGGTGATTCAGGAGCCGCTAAGAAATTGCAACGCCATCAAGGCGTGATCGTAAAGGCGAGATTACAAGCCGGGGATCCTTCGGTGACACTCACCTCGAAGTCAGCGTGCTTGAGAACGTCGTCCGCTCGCATCCGGTTTAAGATGAACTCCGCTTCGTTTGCCACGCGCACTATGTGGTCTTTCATGGCATGCGACAACAATCTTCAAAATACAAAACCAGACGTTAGTCACGAGTCGCCGGTCTTGTCCTCGGTCGTCGGTAAACGAAAAATCCTGGCGAATAATTACGCGACTCTTCGACAATTCCGGGGAAAATAATATTTAAAAAATAAATGTCCTCTAATAATTTGCTAAAACGAGGGCCTCTAATTTTTGCGCGCGATAAAATATCGGCTACGAAGCGGATTGTTTCATCGAGTTCGTTATCCTTTACGAGGCGATTAATCCTCTTCATCGAGAGGGTCTCACCTTCCTTCGTTAATCAGCTCGATAAAGGCCAACCCGGCATGCTTCTGGAGCGAATTTTGCCACTCCTGGGAGCACAACAGCATCACCAGCTCGACCACCGAGTTGCTGTTCTTGAAGGTCGTTAAACCTGTCGATCGGGAAAAAAAGATCGTCAATTCCGAGACGACGAAGACTCTCAGCCAGCGTTAGGGAGTTAAAAATAAATCGCATCGACCGTACCGTCGTTGAATCGTCAATGGACGCGTTGTCTCTACAACCTCGCGACGCGCAGTTGGCATACTAAGCACTCGAGGGCGTTATCCGGGCGAAAGTAGCGAACGATTCGGACGTATCGGGGCATTCCTCGGGAAACCAAGCCGAACCGCCAATCGCTTCGTCGTTCGACTTCGCGAGATCCCCGAGGCATCCGAAAGAACGCGCCCACCTCGCGGAGCCTCGTTGCATCGATAAATAATGATCGCGAAGTCTCGAGATCAATTAACTCGGACAGCCGCGGAGGACTCTCGAAGGAACGACGACCGGCAGCGCTTTTTGCGCGACGCTCCTCCGAGTCCGCTCGCAGCGTCGCGTATCCATATCCATCGATCACTGGCGGCCGATCGATCTTCCCGACTCGTACCTTTGCCTTCCATCAGCAGCTCCTGGCCGTGCGAGCCGACGAGCGTCTTGGAAAGAAAGGGCGCGAAGTCCACCATGATCTCGCGCAGGAGCGGGCAGACCGAGCCCAGCGCCATCTCGAGTTTTTGCGTGAGCGACGCCTCGCGCGACGGCGTCGGTACCGGCAGGTGATCGACGAGGCCCTTGATCGGCAGGTCGTCCGGCCTGGGGGACGCCGCCGTCACGACGAGCCTGTCCGGCACTCGCACCACCGAGATCTCCGTCGACGGCTTCTCTCCCCGCTCCTGGTCCAACGCGTTGCCCTCGCTGTCGGGATTTCCTGGTTTGGGTCAATTAGAGAACGGGATAAGAGAATTAGCTTCCTAGGGAACCGGGCAAAACCTTTGCCTTGGTCACATTTCCTCTTTGAGGGTGGACCGCCTTCGGGAGAATTCGTATAATACGTGTCTTTGGACCCTTACCGTGGGTGTGGACCATGTTATGAATATTTCGAGGATCCTCCCTTGCATTGGAGATCGGAATGTCGCCGTCCTCGTTAAGATTTACGTCGGTCCAGGCCTCTTCGGAGGAGTTCAACTTGTTTTCGTTATCCGAGTGATTTGGATCGGCGGGGATGTTGCTCGGGTGTATGGTTTCCTCGCTGGAATCGTTGCTCTGCGAGCACACGCAAAGTCGACTCGTGTAAACGCCAGGAACGATCGCTCTCCGATCTAGATTTATTTTCCATTTTTGCGATACGCGACAATTGGCACTTTTATCGTTTAATTACAATTAATTACGATTGAAATGCCGAGGAAAAGACATCCGTGGCCTCTTCGGTCAAGTCCTATTAATTGGACGGGGCTCGATAAATTGCTCTAATCCAGATTTAATAAAACTTGATCCGATGGGACGCAAAGGACGCGGTCAATTTATATGTAGATCGATTTCCACTTAAAGTGTCCAAAGCGAGAATCGATCGCTTATTCAAGCGTGGCTATGGCAGGGTCGTCGTTCCTAGGAATAGATTATATAAAATCGGTGAAGAAAATTTGTAGAACCGATCGCGGTGCAACAGAGATAGCGAGAAGCGATGTTAAGAGGTGGAGAGAAGGCCGAAATGAAGAGGGATCGTCCCATTCGTACGTAAAACGGTAACGACCCTACGTCTCGTTAATACCTATCGAGGACTTTACAAAAGACTCGTTAGACGGCAACCACAAACTCTGGGATCTATTGGAACTACTCTACGGTAATACTCTGTACAACTCGGGGACAATCGCCAACCATATTACCATGCAATCGGCGAGGAGGTAGTTTCGAGGAATAATCCGTTTAAAATTCAACGTCACGTCGGTGATATATTGAAAATGCGAAAATTGAACTTTATCTTCACGTATGGGTGCTCCCGTTAGCTTCCGACTTCCTTCAAGGGTATTCGAAGCAGCCGATTCCCTCGCGTCGAGTCTCTTTTCGAATCGACCCTTTCTTTGGATTTCCGATTGAAAATCCTTATTCTGAGTTTTACCTGAATATTTCGTGGCAGTGGATCGGACCTTGTAGAAGAGCCAAGCGTAGGTTCTGACGAGTTGAAATCCTGGAGGATTGTCCGTGGCCGACCACTATGGCCCCCCTTCAGAACCAACAGTTAGTATGCGTAGCAATGCAAGCGAAGAAAGTCTTTTGGCTTCGATTTCCTACATTTTTGCACACTCCCGTCAAAGTGGTCAACGCGCGGCCGAGAAGAGCCAAAGCGAAAATCTCGACGAAAAACCGTAAAAATTTGGAAAAACGAGCGTGACGAAAAGTAAGCGGTCGCGGTACCCTGTGAAACACTTTTTGGGATGCGCCAAGGCTTGCCGGAGGTCCCGGGCAGTACTCTATAATTTATCGACAGGGCAAGTAACGCAAAATGTAATTACGTCGAACTACGTGAGTACGGGACATTTATTACTGGACATGTAAACACTACATGCTGAACACCGCAGACGTAACCATGGTAAACGCACACCTCCGGGTCGTGTAAGACGCATTACCAGCTGACTCGCTACTATACACATCGCGTGCGATCACTAGTAATATACCGCTTGTGCCCGGGCTTCGTGAAATTCGATTATCCCGACCCGAGCATCCGGCAAATAAATCGCCTCGGAACCTTACCGAATCCCAATTATGATTAATCGTGCGAAAAAAAGGCGCGCTACCAAATTATGTCCAGTCGCTTCGCGGGGTTTCGGGAAAAAATTCAGGAACGATTTTTAGAGCGCGCTCGAGAAGATTTCCTTAGTGTCATTGTACGGAATCGGTTAGATCGCGCGGAGAAGTAAGCAAGAACAGCGATGCGACCGATTTATCACTACTGTGAAAGTTTGTAGGAAAAAAAGGGCATGCGAGTTCTACTGAAATTCTCGGAATTCTACCCGGAGAAAAATCCATCGTATCGCGGGCGTGTCCTTATTTTTAATGATCTTAGTACAAACGAGCTATCTTTTGAAATTGATAAAGAGATAACGAAACGTAGGACCGTCCATCGTCTGAGATATTTTCCTCCGTGTAGTAGAACTTGCGAGCTAAGAGACTTTTATTGAAGGCCGAATGTGTCTATACGTTCGTTCGACGTCACGTAAATTCGTCTAAACGTGATACAAGGACACTAATCGTATAGATTTTGGGGAGCAATACAGGAGGGAATAAAAATCGTGAAATTTAGTCGAAACTCACGATCCAGCCTTCGAGGACGACACTTACCTTCGTCGATGGTGGACCGGACGACGTCACGTCATGATCTGCCAAAATTGACGAGTTGTTCTCGTCGACGATTATCACCTCGTACTCGCCATCGTCTTGAGAACCAGATTGACTCATGATACCTCCGCTTTCTGTAATTTTATGTTAAACAAAAAATATATAATGCTTCTCTCGAACATGGTTCGATGTTTCTCGCATAACTTGACGGTGGTCATGCGATCAATGCGTCATACCTATTCAAAAAAAAAAAAAATACACTGGTAGAAGCGGTTCGGGTTGCCAAAAAAATACTTTTCTCATAGTTCGTATTTGTTAATTGCCCCTTTTCGATACGATTGAACTCAATGACCGTCGTGCAAGCTTCGTTGCAGGTAGAATGCAGTCGTTTCATAGGCACGTGAAGGGTTTTTGTCGAATTTTAATTAACGATTGTACAGAGTTCTAAATGTCGCTCAGTCCGAAACGCGCTTATTATCGCAATTTGTCGTAGAATGCGCCATTTAAAGTGCAATGCGTAAAGATACTCCAACGTGGCGGTACACAAATGTGCCGATAATAATATTGCATTTTCTAGCGGTTTAATCAATTGTTCAATGAATTGCTATCTGCAAAGGGTGAAGCTGCAACGACCAATTATGAAAATTTGGGCCAGAGTAAAGACAAAAGCTGAACGGTCAAACATCACTTTCTACGCTGTTTTAGGAATTCTTCTGGTATAAGAGAACATTGTATTTACCTAAGTTTCGAGGAGGCACGTTTTAAGAAGGTTTGCTCTAAACATGCGATGATACCGGGGAGCTCAATTTGACGACGTCTGAACAATTTTGTATGGCAAAGTACGGCATGCTTCGGAATAAACAAGAATTACACGGAATTGAAAAAAGCGATAACTCTACATTTGCACATCGTATTACCATGCGTGTACAATAAAAAATTGACGTAACCATAGGCCCACAAAAACTGCTTCTACAAAATAACGCTTCCTTCTAAACTTTTTGAAAAGAGTTAATTGCGATGACCTTCATTTCTTAATAGAATTCTAAAATGGTTACAGCACACCGAGTATGACAGTCAAACGTCAACCGCAAGATGTTCTTAGGCAACTCTCTAGCTGATTGGATGCGGTTACCCTGCAATTACATATTGTATAAGAATTTCTAGCTGGCATGAAAACTACTAAATAACTGAACGACACTCGTGAAGGAGAAACAATACGCATTACAAATCTCTCTTTAAGAGAAAAGTGGATAAGCCGATGGCCTAAAAACGATAAATAACTAATGATAAAAGATGAATTAGAAAACAAGGTGTAAGAAAATCGGTACAAAACGGAGTCTATTTCGAAGGATCTAAAATATTGCCGGAAAACTACACGTAAACGTGTTATAATCCACCCGAATGCGTTAACACTGTTTCACAGTGCATATCGAGACTCATATTTTTTAAGACACTTCCTAAAAAGGGAAGGGCTGACGGAGCACGCTTTTTTAGAAAATACACGAAACACCTATTCTTGGCAATACAAGACACGATACGATCGTTTCGTGAATCTTTTTTTTGATTCCCCGTCAGAGGAATACTTTTCCGAAACCGTTCGACTTCCTCTCGGTGCCTCCACGGTCCACGACTTAAAAGAAAATAAAGAAGTAAACAATCGTTTTTGGTGAAAAGCTACAAGGCGAGGAGCATTCCATAAACAAGGTGCGAAGAACACTGGCGAGCAATCGGAGGATATATGTACGAGCAGTTACCTTGCAGACCGACACCAGAATTTCTATGATAGAGATTTCGGGGCTGATCGATATGCTTTTGAAGCGTATGATGATGGTTATTGTTGTTGTGGTGGTGATAATGATGGTGGTGATGGTAGTTATAGTTATTCGGGTGGTGGTTGTAATGGTTGGAGTGGTGATTAGGGAGGTAATAGTTGGAGGGGGGCTGGCGATTCGAGTGCCTGGCAGCCGGTAGCGGGTGCTGGTGGTGGTGCTGGCTGACGTGGTGGTTGACATTGGCATTGGCATTGACATTGGCATTGGCGTTGGGGTGAGACCCCGGAAGGAACTGAGGGTACACGTGGTGGGACCACTGTGGAAACAGAGGCCGCCCTCCTCCACCACCACTCCCATCTCCTAAGAATTAAACCACATTAACTATCGTTAACCATGGTACTACCACCACTCGACCTCGACTTCGACTTCGACTTCGCTTGCTTTCTCAGCTGAGTCGTCCAGTGGACCGCCGATCTCGAGAACACGAAACTGCCTATCGATACTACATACGCACATCCGCCTTCTTTTTTTTTTTTTTTTTTATTTCACTCGGGGTTCATTGTCGGTGAACAAAAATCGAATAGCGAAAATAACAAGCGGGCGAAATGAAGTTGTAACTGAAAGATTAGCATGGAAAACCAAAATACCTAATAAGATTAAGTACATGAATAGCGAAGTGACGATGACTCAAGTGAGATTCTAAAATTGAAAAATTCGTCCCTTACATGGGAATTATCTTTTTAAAGTCATTTTCCAACGTTAGAAGGTAAAATTTATACGAGCATGCCTCGTTCACGTAATGAGACATGTATCGGACGCGAGATGAAGCCACGACGTTAGAACGAAGTGAACATCTGTAAATTAAGATAAAGCTGCAAACGCATTCGACAGACATCAAAACTCTCACTGTCAGATACAGACAAGATGTCGAACCTCTACACCAGTGCAACCACACATGCTGTACTACAAGGTTGATTCGAGTGCTGTCCTTTCGATCGCAGCTATTGCTTCGTTATACTGTGCAACGATATCTTAACGATCTACATACGGTGTTTCTCCGGTTGGAATAATATGCTGCATCTATCGAGTGACCTATCGTTGACACAACCCGAGTACATGTCAACTTTTCGGACGTACCCATATTTTCAGACAGAAAAAAGTAATGAACGAGCAACTATTTCTTAGCACTCTAGCACGAAGTGCGCCATAAATCAGTGCGTTCCCTTCGTTTTATGGCTACATTAAACATTTACTGCCCATCCAATTGTTTGAGTTAATGGCGACTGACGGTAAGACAAATTTTTATTGGCAATTTTTTTTATAGGCTAGTCCTTTTTCCCCATAGAAAGTTCTCCACTAAATTCTTAGCTAAGCCACTGTAAAAGCACCTCGATGTCGCGGCAGAATGTACATATTAATATTTCAAAAGTTAATCCCTTCCCACTGTGCTAATATTTTTAAATTCATTGTCTACTGGTTCATTGAAAGTTTATCGATATTAAGAATATCATTCAGGAGTAAGTGAACTTACACTCGTGTATAAAATCAAGTGATGTTTCGGTCATGAAAAATCTGGTGCTTGCATATACAGTGGTGAACACTAAATGATGCATGTCAATCCATGCCTCGAATGAGATTTCCTGTCTTGAATATACGTACCGTTTTTTCAATACTTTGGATCCCTGAATACATTTGTAGTAAAAATTCTAGTTTTGCTTTGTCCTTGGTGCTCGGAATAACGGGGACATTTTGAACGGCATGCCTTGAGAATAATCATGCTCTCTAATTGCTATGTATTCGGTTGGAATGTCCAAAAAATTGTATCTCTTGGAGTAACGTGACGCGAGCAAACAGGGAAGTACATATCTGACACGTAAGAGTTTTGACCAAACAAAAGAACTTAATATAAAATCATTAAACAACTGAGAATTAAAGAACAGTTTGGTATTAAATTATTAATCCGATCGGGGAAGCAGGGCGAATAACCCGACAATCTGTCGACATTTACACACATTTTTACGCGTTCCTCGGTCGTTCTGATACATTGATGACGGTTTCAAAAGTAATACAATTTTTTAAATTCCGATTAATTTGTACAATTGCAGGTAATTTTTGCAACTAGTAAATCTGTCTCGATGGAACTCTTAACGAATGTTAATTAAAAATAACTTCGTGCAAGAACTGTCCAGACAAGGCGTCATTGTTGAAAAGATTACGTTATCGAATAGACGTCGATGTTAAAATGTTTACTTAATTTTGCATAATAATTGGATTCGTTGATGTCTCACCTGATGGGCTACCAGGCCTTAGATTTGCTCCGTTTGTCTGAACCGTTTGCACAGGACTTGGTGGACGTTGGGAAACCGGTGGTTCTAAGATGTCTCGATATTTTGAGACCATTAGTACAGAGATGAAGTAAACTATAGCCAGGGACAGAAACTGGGCCTGCTTGGTTTCTTCCTGAAATAAATAGAACAAAAAGTGTACAATATCTTAAATTTCGTGTTATTTCTTAATAGAGGAATTCATAGATTTATCAGTTCAGGACAAAATTCCAACAGACTTACAACATCTCTGTATATCACTGCTCTTAACCGATTCACGTCCATATCCTGCAGGAGCTTTTCAGGATCCTTAACCGGACTTAGTTGGTTTGCAAGATTGTCCACGATGTTCTAAAAACAAATTAACATATCGGCGCAAGCTCATGTTCTTGGTAACATTTTAATATAATAAGAAATCTCTGCGATAAAAAACTAACAAGGCAACTGAAATAAATGTATTTGCAACCACTCCAAAACAAATGTTATACGAAATTAAAGAAAAAAAAAATTGAAACTAGATATCATCTAAAATCCATGGTAGGTTTAGTGTTAATTTTAATTTTTTCAACGTGCACTAGTTTACATGAAGATATAGCTCAAGCAGGTGGTACGTACCTTGGGGGAAGTTTGTGCTCCTCGAATGAGTGATTGTATATGTTGTGATTTATTACTAGAGCCAATCGGTCGACCTAACATGCTGTACGATCTGCCACGTTCTTTACACTCTAAGCAGTTTCTAACGGCACATGTACAGACCTAAACAAGCATTTTATTGGATAATTATAAAGAAAAGTACTCGCTGTCGAAAGTAAAACACGAGAAATTAACTGCCGATTGGCACAATGAGATTCTAGGGCCGTGATCTCACAACTTAAGCAGTCTAAACTATTTAAATCTACTTTCCGATACGAATACTATATCATATTCAATTGTATAAACCTATATCGAGTACAATATCAAATGGATAAAAGTGGAGTAAGTATCTTCATTGAGATTTCTAGCCGAAGCACTTTACTCCACTTAAATCCTCCACCCTCAACTGGGTTGTCACCTTAACGCATTTTGTTTCATTGCTGTATAACAGCGTTTCATAAACGTAAAAGCGTTAAATGGAAGAAATAAAGTGCAGACTAAACTAGTATTATATTTCCAAAGCGTACTGACTTTTTTGGAAATGTACGAAAAGTAATCGCAGCTTATAATGAGAATAACCGAACCAGGGACTATATAGGGTAATACGAGTGGCGAATTTTTTGGTACTAACCAGTCTTAAGCATTGTCGTAAAATCCCACCGCTGGACATATTCTTTTCGGCCTCCAATTCTCCGAAATTTAGAGAACTGGCGAAGATAAGTACGTCGGCCATGTTGACGAGTCTTTGGAGGAAAGAAACCGCTACCTCGATCGGCATACCCTGAGTTGGTTCGATTACGTCCAGTTCGCTCTACATGTAGAAGACATACGTTATGTCACATGCGAATCTCGAAGGTTGCATAAACACCGTCTCTTTTACTCGTAAACGCTAGAACGAAACACCATTCAGTGGCGGAAACTTACATTCGGTGACGTCGCAGATGCCAATAATGGTAAAAGTCCACCGCAGGCTATTATAAGATTGTCAGCCAGTTGAGAAATTAGATGGACAGTGTTTACTACAAATATGGCGTTTTCACTGCTGTTGACGAAATCCAGTACCGATTTTGTAGAATGACTGGAAATAAAAGTGGAGTTAAAAAATGTTGCAACGCCTAATAGTTATACACATTCATTAATATGAAATAAATTACCTTCTCCAAACTTGAATATCCGTTTCGAGGGAGAAGAGGACGTCGGATAGTAAACGCTGATGTATGTAAGACCACTTAAATTCTGGTATTCTGAACGGAGGCCGGGTGGGTCCTGGACTGAACATTGGCCTCATCGAAGGGTTCCCTTGTTTCGCTCTCTTCGACTCTGCAGGGTAGAAAGAAACAAGAAAACGTCGTATCGAAGGACAACGTAGGTAACTCGCTTCCGTATTGCGCGAAGAACCCGTGCGAGTTCTCGTTAGATGAAAAGGAACGAAGGCAACGATTTCTCACCGAATTGATTGGGATCCACCTGGGTGGAAGTGGAGGCACTCCGTGGTCGTTTCTGGGGTGACGATTTCCTCAGAGGGACAGGTAACGAGGGCGGCTCATCTCCGCACGACTCCTCCCCGTTGTTTTCCGAGTTGACTACTGGCAGGCTCGATCTGCGACGGGCATCTACTCGTTCCGGACTTAAGTCATTCAACAACGACGGATTGTCCCTTGCAATCACATTAGAACTAACGATTTGAGGCACACCATCGGGCAAACTTTTAGTTGCATCACAGACCGTAGATATTGTTGGAATTTGCTGCTTAGGATTTGGCACTTGCGTCGGATTATCTACAGAACTTTGAACATCGCTACTATTACAAACGCTACTGGCTACCTCTACCTCGCCAGTTATCGCGGCGACCTCCTTATCACTTAGGCTAGTAGAAATATTGGACGGCTCTCTTGAACGTTTTTCGTTAACACCCTTGTCTTCCTCCTCGTTACCATTAATAACAGCACTTTTGTCCTCCGTCTCCTCGTCGCCCGTCGTCGTTGCCCCGCACTCACCGTTGCTCACGACCGCGTCTTCAGCCGATCCGACCTCATCGGCTTCTGCCTCCACCACCTCCACCACCTCCGTCCCGTCCACGACGCCGTCCGTAGAGCTCCCCGTTACCCTAATTGAGCAATTCAGACTTTTTACAGAATCCGCGTCGTCTTCGGTCTTGACGCCCACGTTATCTGCTGACTCTTCCTCGTCCTTGTCGTTTTCCTTGACGTCCGTTTTGCTGCCTTCGTTGTCGTCGTCCGTATTTTTGCTCGCGTTCTCCAACTGCTCTCTCGAGTCCGCGTCGTTCACTTTGTTGTCACTGGAGGTATCTTGATTCTCCGTTGGTGTCAAATACGCCTCCGAAGTGTCGCTGTCGATAATATCTCGATCGTTATCCAGTTGAAGTTTTTCCATTTCTTTCATTGCAGCTTCGTTGGGATCTTCGGACTGCGGGGTAATCTCTACGATTGGCGAAATGGCGTCTCCTCTTGACGAGTCGACCGGACTTTCGGTTCGCTCGGTTCTGTCGTCGCTTTCCTCGTAGTTATCCACGGATTTCTCCGTTGGTTCCGTAATCTGTTCTTGCGATTCAACAACGGTCGGAGTGTCCTGTTCGATTCCCGAAGAGTCGTCAAGTTGAGCCTCTTTCTCTTCGATATCCTGCTGAACGTTTTTCGAGGGGACCTTATCGTCCGATATTTCTGATTCTTGGGTAGAAGTGCCTATGGTTGGATCTTTTTCGTCTTTTGTATCTGGAGGCCTATCTGGGTCTTTAACCGTTGTCTCTTCGTGGGTTTCCGTATCGATTTCTTGCGGAGATGCGTCCTCCTTTGCATTTTCCGAGGGTGTTTCTTCTTTTGCTGCGTCAGACGGTATGGACTCTACGGTAGTTTCGGGTTTGGTGTCGCAGGTGTCATCCATTACCGCGGGGTCTATGATCGTAGAATGAACCAACTCGGGACTCAAACTCTCGATTTTATGCACCTCGCTATAAAGATCACTGGAACTCTCTATCGATATAACTTCGCTAGTCTCTTGTGTCGTTGGCAGTGAAACTACTTCGCTGTTCGCCTCTTCGAGAATCGTTGGAGTGTCCACGTGATTTTCTCGGGCAGTTGTCGGGGTGTCCAATTTGTCGCTCAATCTTGAATCTAATGACACAGCTTCGCTCGACTGGAGGGTCTCCAGAGTTTCGCTCCTCGATTTCATGATCGAAGGACTTCCGTCACTTTCGGTGTTGTCTATCGAATTCAAATCGCAACTGCAGGACTCTTCGAGACGATCGTTACCTTCCGATGCCTCGTACTCCTATCCAAACGAAATAAAAACGGTACAGAACTCAAATAAGAGGAATTTGAGATTCCTAGTTAAACAGCTTTCAAACCTTGCAATTGTTTTCCGCCTGTTGCACTTCTTGGGGTTGCTGATTGGTCCATGGCGAGGGTCTGCTGTAGCCGTTATTTCCTTGATGCTGTTGATCCCATCCCGATATTGTACTTATTGGCCTCTGTTGCCTCAGCTCAGGATCTGTGATGTTGTCAGAACGCTGTCTTTCGTAGTGTTCGTACATTTGTGCAAACTGAAGTTTAAATTCCTCGTAAGAGACCTTGAATAGAATATTAATCAGTGCGGGAAGAAAATACATATTCCACGAGTTATAATCCTTTAACCATACTTTATCGAGCCATTTAGCTTGTTTACCTTCGAATGGACAATTGCCAAAGTATCGACCCACACTCGCCATCCGCCATATTCATGTTTAATGGCATGATGTAACAACATCCGGAATAACGAGTATACCATGTCGGATATCTTTTGTTCCTCTGTATTCTTTGGGTGGATGTAGGCCATTGCAATCAGCCATTCTTGCCAAACCGACATTTGAAGTACTGTCCTCCGATTTTCCCGATTATTATTGCATAACAAGGTCATATCCGAGAGGAACAACTTCTTAACTTCCAACAATTGTTCGGTTTGTTTCGACTGACGAATTAACGTGGCTACTACTTTCAAAATCACTGAAAACGAAAGTAGCATTAGCTTCGTATGTATTCTATTAAATACTGACATTTTATTACATATGACTTACTCGGGTTCTCTAGTCTGTAGTGAGATTCTGGTTCTGGGTGTCTCGTGTAAAGAATTTGCTGACTAATGTGTTCCGTCATTATCTAGAAAAAAGAAAAAGAAAAGAAAAGAATTGCATCCTCGTAAAATATTATTACAGGAAACAACACGAAAGAAAGTACAAAACATTAATAGTCACCTCGTATAAGACATTGTACGTCGGTAACGATAACGTTTCCTCATTTAGCAGCAACCTCTCCGAAAGTAACGTGTACAAATTGTGAGGGCTCATTACATCGTATTTTCTTCTGAAATATTAAGGATTCCGATAACCTTTTACAGTCCTTAACTTTAGAATAATGGAGCTTTATAAAACTTACTTATGCGTGCTCCGGCTAAGGAAGAATCCCAACAGTTTTAGAGCTTGAAGACGAATTAGTTGACTTTCTGCAGCGAGTAATTTGAAAATTGTTCTAACACCCTGTTTCGCGTCGAATGCAGGAACCATCGATGACGGGTGTTCGGACATCAAGGATATTAGCATTTGCAAGACGTCGTGCAAGTTTTCATCCTACAAAAGTAAACGTTACACGTTATGTTTCAATGCCCGATGTATCGAGCACCGAATAAAAAAAAAAGTCTTCTACAAAAAATTAAGATTTATACTTCATGCATCGTCGTCAAATAATTGAGGATACTCTGGAGTTCGTCGTCTTTAACCCCATTCCCGATCATGATCAGTTGTTTCAGAAACAGCAGGATATACGAGCGTATCGTCAATATGTCCTTCTGTTGTGGCCTCGGACCATCTGCAATATTTAAATCTGATCCAATTATCTTGTTACTAAGAGAAAAAATCTACGTCAAGGGCACAACGCGAAAGAGACGTCCCTGAGAGGAATATACGAATAAGAGCGCTCACCAAGTCCTTTGGGTGTAATGCCACTCTTGGCTCGTGGATTCGACACCCAATAGTAGTACTTCAACGTGTGAACCGTCTGTAGAACCGTAGAGACCCGCCTTACGTTCGAGTAGATTTGCGTGTCGCTAAGGAACTCCGTCGCCAGATACGAGTACAGCCTCGTTTGTACCGGGGCCGGGGTGTATATCCACAAGGCAGGATTAAAAAGGACATGGTCCAACAGCTGCCATGTTAGGAATGAAAAGTAAAACATCTACATCACGATGGTTCTGCCTGTTCTTCGGACACAGCCAATCTATCCGACTTTAATCTATCACAGCGCGGCCTCGCTTACCAATGCACCACCTCCAACTATTTACCGCTGGAAATAATTTCTTAAGCCTCTTAAATGACACCTCCGCGATGGCACGGATTAGTGCGGAAAAAGGACATGCATTGACAAATTTAAGGACGACCCTAAGATCGAAAGAAATATATTTTAGAAATGTTGACGATGCCTTGAAGGAGTGCGTGTAAAAAGTTCACAGTGATTCTGGTAAGATTTCGGAGCGTTCGTAATTTTAAATTAGCGTGGTTGGAGAATCATACCGACTTGCAATACGATTCCGATGTTATGCCGTAGGTCTTCGAAAATATTCCAATTAAAGCAGCATTGAATAGTAGACTTATAGATGAAAGCGGTTCCTCGGAAACGGAAAATGTCTTGCGCAGGTATTGTGAAACGAGAAAGCCTGAAAGTCGGTAGATTGCATGCGGTCCAAAGAATTGAAAACTTAAACGTACACGAAGAAACAAGTTGCTTCGGCAAAAAGTTCACCACTGTCAGCGATCGCTCAGCGACATATTTTCAATGCAACGTGCAATGTATGCAATGCGGACATAATGGTAACATCGAAGAGTGTTACAAAACCGAATCCTTTACGAAACGATAAAACCAGTAGAAGTAAAAGCATAACTGGGTTAATTATGTAACAGCATGAATATTGTTAAATTATCTCCGCGACGACGTACCGAAATGTCTTATCAATTGAAATCGTATAAACTAAATAAATATAGCTATTTTCATGCTGGAGAGTGAGTGGTTCATCTATTATGTACCATAAATTAATTTGTAATATCTCGTAACATTTCATGGTCTTATTAGTGAGGGAAGAATAACTTATCCTTAACTGTATATCATACCTGTTTCAGTAGAAGGTCACTATTCGCACTCAAACACGTAACGAGATGTTTGGTAAGTTCGAGAAACGATGCAAGGACTTCCGTGGTGAGGTGATCCCTGCTGGCTCTTTGCAACATGAAACTTATCACCAGAAATCCTCGATTTTGCACCATATGTTGCTGGACGGTCTGCGAACTCTCCACCAGATCGCAGATGAAGCCCAATAATTTCGAACTGAAAGGTGCGTACGTTTATTTAAGTTTCTTAAAGTACACCGATATAATAACGTACTCCGAGAGTCGAAAAAGCTTCGGGCATATTTCGCGCCAGAACAGAAATAATTAAATTTCATTACCATAATGTAGGGTCTCTTTTTATGTCGTTGGGGGCTGTACAGTCATAAGGCATGTCTAACTGCGAAAATAATGGGAAAAGCACTTGAATTCCGCCGATAGAATTTAAGGTGCTGTGTATAGAGTGCGTTATGACGGCTTTCACGTCCTGGAAGAAAGTCAGAGCGGAAAACGTGAAGTTTGCGATGAAAATACACTCGTTAAGGTAAGAAAATCAGAAAGCAAACCACTGACCTGCAACATGAGAGCATGAGGTGTATGTACAAAGTAAGAGACGTTTCCCTTTGGTGCACTCTGCAAGCAGAGTTGGGAATCCGTCGCTACGGGATTGTACATGAACACAATTGCATTGGATAATTTCCCATCGTAGAGCACCTGAAATAATAACCAAGTTAATTACGTATAATAACGATACATCAACGAGAAGGTATGCAACAAAAAATCGTTTCTTCAAACAAATCAACTCAAATGATTCTTCTTTCTATTTAAATCAATTTTTCGTTGCGAAAATATTATAAAATAACATCGTGCGTAGTTACGGTTACTTAATATTGATTTAAATCATCATGCCCTAATTTACAGTATTTACCATTTAAGAGATCAAATATTCTACAAGAAAATTGCAACATTTTAAAATAGATACAATTTGCGAGCTACCTAATAATTCACGGTATCAATACATATGGAACAACGATAACACAAGAAAATGCTAGTACACTGGCGGTGGTAACGCAAACGTAACGCAAAAAACGAGCTCGAGAACACAAGTTCTCTTGTACTTGCGGTACCTGATATATAATAAACTGTAAAATAATTAATGTAATAAAGCAACTTATTGAAAAATAACAATGAGTATGTTTAATTAGACGAGCATGTCTAGCAAATCGCCTATTCCTGATCCTTGAAAATCACTCGTACATCTAAGGCACGAAATTCGGTGCCACCTCCTCGGTTATCCTATGTTCCTGTTACAAATCGAAAATTTCAACCCCTAAACTGTATGCCCGGGAGAAGGTCCGTGCCACCTCCTCGGTTATCCTATGTTCCTGTTACAAATCGACATTTTTCAACCCCTAAAATTTTTGCCCGGGAGAACCTCCGTGCCACCTCCTCGGTTATCCTATGTTCCTGTTACAAATCGAAAAATTTCAACCCCTAAAATGTATGCCCGGGAGAAGGTCCCTGCCACCTCCTCGGTTGTCCTGTGATCCTGTTCCATCTCTGGCGATTTTTAACAGGAACATAGAACAACCAAGGAGGTGGCACGGCATTCTCCCAGGCAAAAATTTTACGGGTTGAAATTTCCGATTTCTAACAGGAACATAGGATAACCGAGGAGGTGGCACGGAGCTTCTCCCAGGCATACATTTTAGGGGTTGAAATTTTTGATTTGTAACAGGAACATAGGATAACCGAGGAGGTGGCACGGACCTTTTCCCGAGCATAAATTTTAGGGGTTGAAAATTTCGATTTGCAACAGGAACATAGGATAACCGAGGAGGTGGCACGGACCTTCTTCCAAGCAAACTTTTTAGGGGTTGAAAATTTCGATTTGTAACAGGAACATAGGATAACCGAGGAGGTGGCACCGAGTTTCGTGCCTTAGATCTACGAGTGGTTTTCAAGGATCCGGAATAGGCGATTATAGGGTTTGCTATACATGCTAGTCTAATTAAACGTACTCATTGTTATTGTTCAATAAATTGCTTTATTACATTAATTATTTTACAGTTTATTATACATCAGGTATCGCAAGTACATAAGTTCTCGAGCTCGTCTTTTACCTTACGTTTCCGTTACCACAACCAAGATGCGCCATGTACACGAGGAAGCCATTCATGACAGCCAGTGTACTAGTTCGGGGCAATCACGCAAAATAAGAAAAGAAGCACACTCGTGTCTACCGCACACAACATTATTTACTACGTCTTCCTGCAATGCACAAAATGATTACATTCATAAAACAAATCATACACATAGGTATTAATCAAAACAATAACTAAAAATGCTCCGCTACGTAAATCGCACGTTGTGTCACGGCAGATTTGTCGCGAATGAAAATCGAAAGCTCGTTCAACTATCGACGAGCTTAAACTGTGCGTAATTCGGACTGACAGGCGACAATTTTCGACGATAGCTCGATTACGGAGGACCGCGATTCGGAATGGACTATTTGTCGAAAATGATGCGGATGACAATGTAGACTGACGCGTGATTGCCGTCAAGTGCATACGGCAAAGGAGACGCGTATTTTGCACGCTAGGTGCGAAGGATAATTACTCCTCCTCTGTCATGTACCCTGCGTGTCGGAAATAAAACCGATTCGTTTGAGTACTATTACCGCGCTACCAGCGCCGGTTTAATTATCGGAGAACCATAAGGCGTCGTATGTATATTTAACGTGCCGTGGTCGAAATTAAACCGAATCACTGGCGCCGGGCGAAAGGAGCAATATGTAACGTTACGACAACGTAGAATATTTTCCAAAGTTCCGACCTCCGCATGCATGCGTCGATTTAGCGTTCGCCATACGAGACGAGTTTCACTCGAATTTCACTTTGTGAAGAAACATTGCGCGAATGCCGTCTGGGGCTAGTTACCTCGGGGCAGACTTGAGCGTAGTAACGGAGTCATTCGCTGTGCAAATAAACGAGAAGAAAGGAAAAAAATAAAAATGCTTACAGGCTGTATACTTTGGTCCACCATGCTCGTGAGTTCCTGCTCATCACTCACCCTTTTGTGATTGTCGGGTAAGTTGAGGTAACACTCGTTGTCGAACCGGAACTGACTCTGTACAATCGATTAATTAGTAAGGAGGTCTTCGTACCGATACAAATCGCGGTGGAAATTTGATCGACCACCGGTTACATTAATTTGACAAAAACTCTGCAATAAGAAATTGATATGACAGCGCGAGTCTACCTTATATCCAGGTCCTAATCTGTGCATTGCACATATCTGATGCGTCGTCAGTGCCTCACTGAACAAATATATAGCGCTCATTTGTCCACAGAACACCCGTTCCTCGTCCAATTCCGGCGTGGCACCGATGTAGCATTTGTCAAACGGCTGAAAACGAGTCGACGTTGAACGCAAAGTCGAGGAAATCCGAATCCTCGAGAGGATACGTCAACTTACGTCGTTGGTCGAGACGAACCACGCCATTTCCGTGCTCGAAGCCAGCTGACAGTTCACCAGGCATTTAATTTCGCTCTTCGTCCACCTATTGTATATGTACACTACGGCAATCATGTACCACTGGAACGTTCAGAGTTTTTGAAAATTATCGTGCTCGTTCCCACTCGACGAAATTGGCTACTCCCTTTTCATAAATCTCACCTTTCGTGGTTGAAATTCGTATTTGACACAATGCTGGAAGCCCTTGCCCTTCACCTTCATGGAAGTGAGGACCAAGCAATTTCCTACGAAGTGCGCGGAGTACCCGACGCCCTTGCTAGTCTTGAAGCTGTGGGATAGAAAAGAGAGACGAATGATAGTTCAAATCGGCGATCACATTTTTTTTTTTTGGCCTTTTTCGCGGTTCCATCACCGGAGGATTCCCAATCCGCGACCGTTTTGAAGATAACTCGTGGGACCGAAACCACTCATTTTCGAAACATATTGTTTTCGCGGATGCCGTTTCGATCGTCTCTGGCAATTCTTCTTCCTTTTATTTTTAATCCCTTTTGCACCCGTAAAACACCGTTGCCATTCGCAAATGGGAAACTACGACAGCCGCGGCTCTCTAAACGGGCGTATGCAAATCCGATCGTTTCCATACGAGTGGAACGTGATTAAACCGCGTTATAGCTCAACGATAGGCGGTTCGACGGTCGCCAGAAAAATAACGGAATACAATCCTGACTGAAATCTCGATGACTTTGAGGATCCCCGGGGAGGAACAAAGCCGGGAATGTTCCGACCGAACAATATTTTCAATGCGGTTTTCTATTCGGGGGGAAAATACGAAACAAACGAAATTGCGCTTGCGAACCTTCATAATACCGAGGGCTTCGGGTTTTCACTCTGTTTCGCCTCAATAGAAATTATTCCAGAGATTCTCGTTTTTCTTTTTGTGTTGTGTTTTTCCTAAGGATCCACGGATCCAGTGCATAAAATGCAGGGCTTTTTTTCGATAACGCGGTCGCCCCGAAATATTGAAGAACAGTTCGGAGGGAAATCGATATTGAATTTTCTTAACTCACCAATAAAGATACGGCTTTTCCCGCTCGATGTTAACGGAATTGATGGGGTCCAACCTGAACCACGTAGTGAAGGTGAAACCGTTCTCGTAAGGCCACCTCGCCAGAGGTGGTAAAACGACTGCCTGGAAATGTCAGCGAAAAACGGATCGCTAAAGACCTCGGAAAACATCGTTAACGTTAATAAAGAAATCGCTAAAAGAATTTCCATGGAATGACGTGGATACAGTATTTGCGCACCGTGGACAAGTTTCGCGTCGCATCGAATAATTAATCTTGCCCGCCTAGGGCGAAATTCAACATTGTCACCTGACCTTAATTGACGAATCGTGTTCATTCCACTTCGACAAGTGTCATCGACCGTTCATGTCCCGGAAGAGGACGAACCGAGGGGTTGAAAAGCAATATTTTGCCCGCAAAAAACGAAGTCGAATAATTGACTCTAGAACCGTAAGTCGAAGTACATTCTGCTACGATAACAAGAGATTTTCAGAGGCGGAGTTCCGGGGAAAACACAAAAGCGCCCGCCGAAATGTCCGAATTAAACGGATCCGAAAAACCCGCCAACGGGCTTCGCGACTTTTCCTTCCGTTTAATTTAATTTCGCGGAGCATAATGCACGAGTTGGTCGAGAACTCGGAGCACCGACGAGTTTCCCTTGACAGAGAATGAATTAGCCGCGAAAACTTTCCCCCGGAACTTCCGGAGAAAAAAGCCCTCCGAGTCGAAGGACCTTTTCGCCAGGGCAGCAAGAACGAAGCTCGGGACCTCGGTAAAGCGTCAACTTTTTTGGTACTCCTGAGCGAAGCACTTCGCGATTCACTTAACGACACGGCAAAAATCGGGACGTGATCTACTTACCGACCCTTTCCTGCCGGGAAAACTGAAAAATACATCGGGCCCGTTTCGTTGCGGCATTTGGCGAAGGACGTTCAGCAGTTTCGCCGAATGGCGAGGCTGAAAGTTCCCATTAAGTGCTTCGTTAGACGCCTACAAGAAAACGCCTAGCCTTGAAAAATCATCCTTTCGCAACTCGGTAGACTCGAGTCGATCAATTTTTCTTTTCTTCTCATAGCAAAGCGAATTTTATCATTACCCATTTGCCCTTGACCGCCTTCATTGCCCCGAACAGGAGCTTCAGTTCCTTCACCGTGATGCTGTAGCTCGCCAGCACGCCCAGCATGTCGATCAGTAGATCTAACCCAAATTATAATTAATATAATTCGGCAAAGACGTTACGTCATGGCGATCGATCGATCGATAGGGTAAGAAAAAAGAAATAAATCTTACCGGCCACGACGGTCTCGGCACGCGACAGCCGATGTAATACGTGTTCTATGAGACTCACGTCCGTGCAGGCTTGCAGATTGCGCACGCTTTTTCGCAAAATGGCGATGAAGACGCTCCATATCTCTGCCTGGAATTAAAGGTAAGCAAATTTTCGAACGCGCTTCGTCGAATAAAATCAATTTTCAACGTTTCCTTGTGCTTTTCTAAATCGAGTTGCGTCAAACGTACATCCCTAAAAATTGTCGGACACGGCAGTTAAATGGCTTCAAGGAGGTTAAAAGCGCTAAACGGAAGAAGCTTAGAAAGTGCTTCTAGAATGGAAATTCGCTTTGTCTCGACGTACAGCGAAGAAACCTTTGAGGATTACGGCTTAACCTCTCTGGCTTGTACTTAAGAGTTGCATCTCGTTTAATGCTCCACCTTGCAGTAAATAATCCGAATCGCCCTGTAAAAATACGCAGATTCACTTGGAAACGAGGTCTCAACGCTGTCCTCGTAAACGCCGTAAACGGCTTAGACCTGATTCATGAGAACATCCATTTTACGGCATCTAAAGAAATCTGGACCGCGGGAAGAAATAATGGCAGTACCTCTCCTCCTCCTCTATATTCGGTTCCACGACGTAACGTCGCGCGTGCACTGCCAGGGGAAAATTCGGTAGGTGCCGGGTCACGTCCAATAGGTTTTTTTGAAGCTTTTAGGGAGGTCCGTGCCTGGAAGCTTTCATTTCACCGAATCCGAGACGGATATTCAAAAGTTCCATTAGGTAACACCGGAGGCCGAAGGCAAACGGGGGTCAAACCGAAAACGTTCCAAAACGGTCGACCTAAACCTTCGATCGGGAATAGTGGCCCCGAATATTAGTTCCACCGACGAAATCGATGTTAAAAGAACTCGAAGCGAGGTGAATTCATGCGATATACGGCCCGTTCTTGGGTGGTCGTTCAAAGAACATCGGTCTCGGGCCGTGACTGCACCGAAGGAATATCGAAAATTGGCAGGAAGCGACGTCGAAGGCCGGAAAGCCCGTTCCGCGAGGGCGAACTTGAAATTATTTGGAAATAGTTGGGAGCCATTCCCGGCCTGTGGGGGGAATGCGGGATCCATTCAAACCTTGGAATTATTAATAACTTACGATCAAAGTTCCCCGGCGATTTGATCGCATCGCGGTAGGTACCCTATGCACCGTCGAATTCCCTCCACTAACCAGGGCACATCGCCATCGAATAATTCCCCGCTTTCGTCGAAATAACCGAAGTCGCGATTTAACCCAGTTTAACGCCTCGTTTTCCGTCTCTTCGTTCCGTTGCCTCTCGTTTCGCATACGCGCCGACCGATCGCTCCATGCGAGTATTCACAAAGTGCATCGGGGGCAATCCGAAGACTTCGGTGACCGGAGTCACGACAAGGGCACAAAGCGAATCCTAATTGTTTTAGCACCACTCGTGGAATCTCTTCGAGTATTTATAGAGCCGTAATATTGCTCTTGCGCGTATCGCATTCCATTATTATTACATTCCGAACCGCTGCATTTCGGCCCGACTGAACGCGGCTTCCGAAACCTCGCGTTCGGATATACCTTGGAAATTAATCAACGGACTTCCATTGATCTCGCGGCGTCCCATGAAATGGAATGCACGATCAGCGTCGATCCACGCGAGTTTGGAAATTTTAAAGATCCTCCCAAGGACGCCCGAAGCGCAACGCGGATCTTGGCGTTGGCGAGAAGTTTAGAGAATTTATCCATCTACCTCGTGGACAACGCGTCTCCCAACGAACAGATTTTTTCATCGAGGGTGTGGCAGTTCGTCCGCTAAAGCACCACGGAAAAAGTCGATCGGCGGAAAGCGAATCTCGCTGTCAAATATTTGTCCCGAGTCGTTGACACGGTTCGAGCCGGACACGGACGTTATTTGGCAAATAGCCGTCACGGAAGATCGATCCGTGGTCCCCGATGCGATCTACGAGGGCATTTCCGGTGACAATCGCGGTGCACGCACAAAGTCGGAGCTGGTCGTCGACCGGGCAAGGTGGGACGGGAACGCGATTCGTCAAATGGCGCAACTTTGGACCACCGGCATCATCGAAATTTTGCCAAAATTAGTCCTCCGGAACCGAGGGCTTTGCGAGGGAAAACGGTCGCCGATTCTTTTCTAACTCGAACCTACATTTCGTACAAAGCAACTTTCCCGAATGACGGGATTTAATTTCATGCCTCTGCACTTTTAATCACGGAACCGCGGTCTGGCGCGTCTCTTGCGCGTCCCCCTATCGGCTCACCTCGTGGCGTTCTCGTGGCGGTCGCGAGATTCGGTTTGTTTCCTGAAATCCACTCCTGCATGGACGGCGGTTTAATTCCTTCGTAACGAGGTGGATATCCGTCGCAAATGAACACGGCGTTAAGGGAAGTTGCGAAAGAAAAAAGGCCTCGAGAAGGGAATATCTTCGCCTGCCTCGGACGTTATCGGGGGGACGACCGGCCAACTACCAAGTTATTAACTCGGAAATCTTTAATCCAGTTGCTTACCACCGAGTCCCAATTAAAAAGTTTCATCGGTGAGACTAGATCCATCGCCGAGGCTTGGCGAGCTCGATAATCGATATCACCGATAAACGAGTGGCCGAAGAGGAGCCGGGCAAAAAGATGACGAGGTGTCCGCCGCTTCCTGGCGGGATTCGCTTCGTTTCCAAAACCCGCCATTTTTCTATAAAATGCGGAGGAACGACTCACGCCAGAAAATCGTTGAAAAAATCTCCTAACGAGTCCCTCAAACGCGTGGATATTATACAATTTTCAGAATTTCCCCAGTCCCGGAATATCGAATCATTTTCGCATTTTCATTTACCCGCGGGCAACGAGCCGCCCAGAAGTTGTATAATTAATGCCAGCCAAGGAGCGCGGTAATAGCATTTTCCCCTTTCAACTACTCCGCGGTAATAAAATTGTTCCGCCGAAGAAGCTCGCGTCTCGAGAGAAATATTTCGTTATTAATTCGTTGACGTTTCCAGGAACCCAAGCCGGAAATACCTCCTTATTCGATAAAACGATCTTCTTGCCTTTCAAGAATTCGCCATCGCGTTACGATGTTTCTTGTACCATTGCCCTCCCGGGAGCGTTCCGTCCTTCCTCGATGCCAAGTCGCGGCTCGCGTATCGCGACGACGAGAATTTACTTTCCTCCTCTCCGTCCGATCATTTTTTACGTCCACCATTTATTTTTTATTTGACGCGGCTTAAAAATTTAGAGAGACCTAGCACCGGACCCGCGCTGGATTCGTCATTAAAAAATGTCGATTACGTGGGGTGGAACGGCCGTCCTTTAATCGATACGAATGGGAGAGGGACGTATACGGGAGTTCGTTGCTAAACGCGATCGCATCCCGTGCAATTTCCTAGGTATATGGGACTAACGGATGGAATTAATCCGGGTGGTCATCACGCGGCATTAAGCTGGACATGGCGCGGATGCCCGAGCTTAAGAGCCGCTCTTGGGATGCCAGCTTAATGTCGAAATTATTAACTGGCTGCATTAGTTGGATGGAGTTGCGCCGCCGTGTTTCGCGATCAGAGCCAAAACTAAACCCGCAGGACGGGGACTCGCGTAATCCCGCAGACTCGAAATCGTCTCGGACGTGTGCTCGAGACCGACAATGTGCTCGCATGGCGGGAAGCTTAGAGGCCGCCATGCCGGCAGTTTAGAAACTGCCTTGGAACGGTTCCAAAATGACCATTTTTCGCTGTCTGCCGGGAAAGAAGCGGCGCAATCGATGGTAACGACCCGGCGTCAGATATGGAGCAAGATTTTTCTCGAGGCTCGATATACACCCCCGGGACGGAAAAATCCCTTCCCCCTCCCCGGAAGGGAAAAACCCACTATTACTTAGCGTACCGATACGTTACCCTGAATATCGAATTACTTTCGGATATCGGAGAGGGGGAGAGAGGGAAGTTCTGGCAGGGTGCCGAGCGGGAGGGAGCGAAAGGATAAAGCTCTCCGGATTATCTTACGGCCGGGATCGCGGAAACTCGTTGAAACGGAACGCGAAGGGGACTTCGTTCTCGAGATCGAGATATCAAAGTGTTCTCTCCCGCCGAATAGGGCTCGTCGGGACGTATCCTTCGGGAAGGGATAACGGGACGAGTTCCTTCCTGCGATCATCCGAAACCCGATATCGTCGAACCAAGAGCGTCGAGCCCTTATCGCCGTTTCTCGGCGTTCGCGCACTCGAACGAACTCGAAGGGCGTCGGGAAAAAAGGAGGGACGACTATCGGTGGAGCTTTCGAACCGAAGATCGAAAGGAAGCGCTCGTTTCCGCCGGAACCTCCCCTGGCCCGTCGAAATTAGTTCCGGATTACGAGCACCACTCGGCCGATAAATCACTCGCTACGATTTAGGGAGGAGTTAATTAAATAATCTGCGCACCGAGTGCGGCCAAAGGATAATAGCTCCTCAAACTTCGTCGAGAATATCGACCCGCCGAACGAGCAAACGTCCAATTGGGTTAACGAACTTTCCTCGGAACGTTCCCGCGAGCATTTTGGACCATCGGCTTGCCCCGCTTCGAGCGACTTCCGTTTCGACTCCACCTCGGTCGCCACGAGCACCCCTTTCTTCCGAAAGGGACCCACGAAGACGCGGAGCGTTCCGTTTTGCCCTCGTTTCCGAGAGCATCGAAGAGGTCGCGGCCAACCGCGGGGGTGAAAAGTCGCTCGGCCTAAGTGTCGCAAATCCACCCCAAAGGCCGCGCGGGGCTTTTAGCACGAATGCACCCGGAGTAAGAGTCGAGTCGAACGATCCGGAGTGTTCCGGCGAGAGGGCAGAGGGAGGAAGCCGGAAGGCGACTTCCTGCGGCGGCCTTTGGCGCTGCAAGCTCGCAAAATTGCCGCCTCGCGGAAAGGGGCGGGAAAGAGTGCGCCAATCGAGGAAGCTCGGAGTGGGCGAATTTCTTTGAAAACTTGCCGACTTTCGAGAAGGTGGCTTAATTAGTCCTTGGTACCAAGGGTGGGTTTCGCGACGAACGGGAGAACCAGGGGAGGCCCCCAAGAAATCGCGAGCGAAAGGACCTCTGGCTTTTAACCGGCCGAGTCGCGGTGTGAGACACCTGCGGGAAATATGAATTTCAATC